CATCTCCAGACATCTAGCACCTTACTTTAATCGTCGATATCGATCGAGTATCTGCAGTAGCTTGAATCTAGTAGCTTCCTCTGTGCACAGGATGCATCAATGGCTCACCACAGGCTTATCGGCAGACTAACTAACTCAACTGCCTTTTCAATATGACCCTCCCTGTCCTCCTATGACTGTCTGGTATCATGCTCACGGCCCTTCCAAACGCTACACAATTGTTGGACTCGAGTCACAGTGTGAGTTTGATACAAAAATAGTGCCTCATGCAGCGTATGGTTACGACAGCTGATCATTGATATAGTCCTACAACATAATCACTACGTTTCCATAACACATTAGTCCGATCAGTCCTTCATAGATTCACTATAATGATCAGATATAGAGAGCAGTCTTCAGACAATCTCTTATTAGAGACTCAGGTCACGCGCGCTCGGGGTCATCATTTCATCGCCTTCACTGATCAGACTTGAATGGCAATAACTTCACTAACGATGACGAGGCTTGCGGGGGTTCATCCGCAACAACACGTCATCTCTGATATGCCCATGTCATCACATCAGTGGAAGCACCTCACACTCCCGATAACTCAACACGAGGAGTCGGAAACTAACAAAATCCCCCCGTCCAACTCGAAATTGAAAAAAACCTTTTACGGCCATAAAGACCAGATAGCTTCTAATAACTACTTCACCACCTTGGCGACGGTAGAGGTGCACTTGCCGAGCATTGCAACACCGTTACCCTCCATCAGAGCTACACGAGAGAGACCCTCACAGTTCTTATAGGAATCAACCACAAGCGGCTGGATGGGCTCGAAAACGACTTCGGCCATCTCGTTGGACTTGAGAGAGTGGGGATCTTCCATTTTCTTACCACCAGTTTCCTTACCAACCTTCCAGTTGATCTTAGCAAGCTTACAAGCGGAACGGCCAGTACGGACGAAAGCAATAGGAGAATACCCAACCTTGATTTCACCAGGGACGTCCAAGACCTGAATCTGAGCGGTGAAGGACTGGACGTGCTTCCACGAGGTATCTTTCTTGTAGATCATGACATCACCAGCACGTGGGATGTTCTCCTTGATCAGACCCTTAAACATTGAGACCGACATTATCACCAGGGGAGAGCTCGCTCGTGACGCTTA